TAGTCGGTCTGAAAAAAGAGGGGAAAATGAACTTGAGCGGAAGAGATCGCCGTGGAATGTACAGTATGCGACAGAAAGGCTCTAAATGTATGAAAGCTGTAGCCATCCTAGGCCACGCAAGGACTCAAGTTCGTGAAAGACTTCATCTATCAGTCTTTTGGCGCCTAATGTGACCTTTGTAGGCTTCAGCTCTTATTACAGATATGGTGATATTCTCGAAATAAATAATAAATAAATATGAAAAAAATAAAAAATATTACCAAGTTTATAAATATTAATATACATATTTAAGGGGCCACCAGACACGGCTTGTTTTTTAAGGGAGTTGGATGCGGATCATTCGCAAATGAAGACAAAGCATGGCTCCAGGCTACTTGCCTACTATCAGAAATATGTAAGTAGTATGGAATACTATTTTCTGGTAAACATATAAATAGAGAGATTCACTAATTGATATATTCCGGCTGCAAAGGCAAGAAAAGCTTCTTACAGCTATAGATTCTCCCTTGAGGGTACACGACAAATTGGATGGCTAGGTATCAGGAATAAGCTGTAACTCACCACGGATGCCACCTTTCTACTCCTCCCTGGTGTGCGTTTGCATCAAATGACCATGAATAGAGGGGCATATGGGAAAACACAGACGAAGATACAATATGGTCTAGAAAAAGGCAGAACTACCTATAGGTGGAAATAAAGACAGACAGATATATAAACACAGAGAGATACATCGGCTGAAGAGTATAAAGTGCCTAAAGATAGGTATATAGACAGATAAAAATAGAAAAACTGGACAGAAAGATATGCAGGTTACAGTAAACATGCATACATTTCTTGGCAGACTTTTTTCGAAACTATCACCTGATACCTTTTCCTAGAGATATACCGTAGAATAGAGCAGGGATATGCGTTTACATGCCTAAAGCAAGAGAATTTGGAGCCTTCTTCTCCAGAAGCCCACGCAACTTCTGCTTGTTCCTGTGTCAGTGCGTAAAGTTGTGAATTGTGTGACCTAAAAGTGAATTGAGGCATACTTGGCGAGCTTACAGGTTTTTGAGATATTTGAATGGTTCCAAGCTTTCGAGGCCTCGTGTTTCTGCCGAGCAACTGACTCAAAGCCCGGGACCACGATTACCTGTCTGAGAACTTGCCTAACAAACCAAATATATATATATTAATTGCATATATATATATATATATATATATAATATTAGAATAACAAAATTTCATAAAAAGCATAATCTTAAAGCATAAGAACATGATTGGGTGATTTTAAAAGTATGTCCAAATTTTAAATATAATAGAAGGGAATAAAAAATAACGTGTGGAGATTAATGCTTATTAAGGGGTAATTTTGGCTAAAATATGCCTAATTAATGCCATATGGGATCTTTGATTGCATACTTTCGTAAGATTATAATGTTTAATTTTATCAAACAGTTTTAAATAAAAAATTTGTATATTCTACCCTCTAGTTTTTTTATGTCTTGTATTGATACTTAAAGATAGACTATCGATTTGACTCCATTAAAGCGAAGAATAAACGACTAATTATGCAAATAATTTTAATGTATAAGTAATTAAATATCACATCTTAATTAATTGATGTTTGCTTATATTAAAATCGTCACAATACAAATAGTGCATTAGACTAAACTGTATTATGCACTAGTACTTTAAAGTATACACCTCTTCCAGTGTTTGATGGCTGCAAACTCCGAATTGACTTTTCAACCTGCCGGAATATCACCGCATCCAATTTAAGAGCAATTTTTAGGCCTAACTTTAGTCAGGAAATATTAAGTGCCAGCAGATGCTTCCTTCTAAAAGTTCAGACTAATTAACAGGAAATTCACTGAACTTTCAACCAGAGTAGGCGAGTTTTTACGTTGAGATCGGTAAAAGATTATCGGCATAATTTTATTGCATCAGAAGACTAACCTATTTTCACGTTATATTGCTACGGTAATGAGGGATTCATGGATTGACAAAATCCTATAATGCCGGTTTTGTATGATACAGACTGACTTGAAAATACAAGAGTATAATGACACAAAAAGCCTTAACACTGTTATTCAAGCCAATTTCCAGACTGAATTTTCCCAAGGGCTTAGGTATTTATTAAAGAGTAGGCGTTCTGAAATCGTGATTGTTTTTTCCGAAACTAAATGCTATTCAAGCCCTCTGGGAAGCAAATTCTATCTGGACTGATAAACGTATAGAATAAACGCATTGACGCACATCAAAAAGTCTTGACTACTATACACATATACATATGCATATAAATTTATTTATTTATGGTAGCTAGAATAAATAATTATGGAGATATTAAGCGCCTAATTTTTTGTGTAAAATCTTGCTTCAACTGCTTGTCGTGGCTACTTACATGACAAAATTTTTTAAAAATGATTCAGACTACTCGTTTAGCAGGTCGATGTAAGTAATAATGCGGTTGATTGAATTAAAATTAAGCATGGTTCCTTTTTTCATCAGTCTCCTTTTCCCTACTGCCTGCTTGCCCATCATGAAAGAGCTCGTCATGTTACTCATGAGTAGGGCATTCTCAAATGATAGGAGATGATGGCTTACACGCGCAAATCAGTTCTAAATGCAGTAAGCTTAGATAAATAGATTTCACTTTCCATTAGTTTATTTTTCATTTAATCGAGCTTCATTTTCGGTTGAGCATTGTATTTCGATGATGATGATGATAATAGAATTAACGTTAAGTGGTTACTTATAATTATCTACTAAATTAATTTAAATACACACTTGTCAAAGACCTCCAGGTTGTCTACATCATGTTAAGAAGCAAGCTTAAAGTTTCTTTTGTCTCTCGTTCAAAAGCCTTTTATAAACCACAGATGAACCAATTTTCGACTATTTCCTATTTTGTGGCTTCAGCACTTATTAGGGAAATCGCACGTTTGATTTTCAAGACATCAAACACATCAGGCCTCCATCTCACACGTTCTGATGTAAAAGCGATGCGTCGATAATGCAAAAGAAAGGGAAGATTTTGTGCATTTTTGTCTCAGAATAATAAAATATTGCGTGTATAATGTGCACTTGTTGCGTCCAATCTAATAAAAGTTGATTTTTCATCAGAAAACTTTTCAGATGATCCCAAATCAAATTTTGCCATCACTGCATGTCGTAAAAGCATAGGGCAAAAAGTGAATGCAGAACAAGCTCTTTGCCAGGTTCAAAGTTATCAGATTTTGCCTTGTTTCCGTGCTAGCAAGACTGCTTAGATCAAAGAGTTAAGGAACACAAGGGAAAGCAAAAAAAAAGATGGTAAAAATCATTTTTGACTGGGCTGAGGCAAAAAATTAATGTAACCAAAGGCTTGTAAAGGAAATTCACCGTTTCTTCAGGCTTTTTAAATGCTTCCACCGAAATATTTTCATATGCATTCATCCGGCCTGATGGTGCAAGCTTTTGGTTGGCTGCGGAAAGTTTAGTTTTCCAGACCATATTACATGCTGAACTTATTCTCTAGTAATAGTAGGTTGTAAGTAGTATGTTTTAAAGTTAGCATTAGGAAGAAGTAAGACGCCCAAATTTCTCACAATCAATTGAGTAGCGTAGCTATCAACAGGGAAAAAAAGAGTTTTTTTATTCCGCTTAAGCCTCAGTTTTAATCTAGCCGGAACTGAAAACTCATTTTGGATCCAGATCATGCACAGCTTGGCAACACTTTCCACCACTGCATCATACAGCCAGCCGTGACGTGTAAGGCAAGTCAAGCCTGTCTAAAATCACATCATCATAGTGAGATTGTCGTTGGGGCAAACACATATCCGACCATATAAGCGATGAGGTCACTCATTTTCGATGTAAGTATGTCTCGAAAGTTTCAGCAGTTCCGGGATAATTCGAACCAAGTAGACCATGAACAAGCTCTTTAATTGACTTAGGTCTCCTGAGGTAATGAAGATGATGATAGTGATGATGGTTAATTGGGATGGTCTTGCTGCCGAAAAGGTATTCTATCTCAGCTCGACTGAACTGACCTCAATAAAGCGAAAAAGGGTCTTTTTATTGGAAGAAAAGTTGGGTTTAGAGGAATCTCTTGTTTCATAATTGTTGAGTTTACTCCCATTTCGAGTGGAAGTGTTGGGTGAAGAGATTCGAAGGTCGGTCATCATCAGAGCGAGGTATCATCGTCACAACAAAATTCAAGCAAATGAGTTTTCTTGACTTGTTAACTTGAATTTTGTTGTGACGATGATGTCCGTCATATGACGGACGAGAGCTTAGCATCTTTTCACCGGAATCGAGTGAGATTGCCTCGGAAACAGCGTCAGCATGAATCTTTCAATAAAGCCATTCGACAGTTGGTCAAGAGGAATCGGCCGTCGTCTTGTGGTGGAACCGAACTTCGAATCTCTTTTCTTGTTATTCGAACTAGGTAGTGATTCGAGATCACAAATAAAAGCTTTTATCTCCGAGGGTGGCTTAATTTGAAGACTTCATGAATGCTGGTCTTAGTCTACGCTACTGATAGTCACGAGAGTCTACTCAAAACGAAATATAAGTAATGTCGTCGATTGCTGTAGCAAATGTAAGTTTGCTTCGTCGACAATCCCACCACAGAATGTGATACGTAAAAATGTCTGGCCTTCCTTCAAATTCACATCTGCTCTGTCACCCAAAGGTAATTGTGGCGATTTAGCGTGGCGGTTGACGCGTCGAGATTACACGCTAAACCGTCATGGCCCAACTCCCACGGAAGCTGCAGTCCACTCAAGCCGGGATAAGAATATCTTTTGGGAAAGCAGGGCTGGGTGGAATTGTGTGAAAACGTCATCTCTACTCACATCTTTGTGGGAAAATTCAACTACCAGTCCTTCATCACCTACACGAAATAGGTTGAGCATGACGCATAGACATGACTTACTGGTAGTCCAGTCAGTTGGCAAATCAATCAAGTGAGTAGTATGTAAGTAGTATGATGTAAAAAGATAAACTGACGTCAGACGACTCACCTGTACACGTTAGTCGTGCACCAGAATTACGGGTACCAAGTTGGGCTGTTGCAAAGCCGGTAGGTGCGGTTTTGTCTTTCGCCTTGGACGCAAAGTTGAACGCCTGCCAGAGATTTTCTCATTTTTCCGTCTCTTTTTCGGGTTGTTCTGGCCGAAGACAACATCGCCATCCGATCGGTTTGCCTCAAACGTGACTGGCGGCGCCGGCACGAGCAGCGGTTCTGCGATCTCGCCGCTCGGCGTCGACGTGCCAGCCGCCTGGAGACCGAGTCCAAGGCTCGTCGGAGCCAGTTGCAGAGCGCTGACGGTGGCCAGAGTCACGGAGCTGGCGACTCGGTGGACCGACTGCGGTTCCCCGGCCAGGCTCAACAGGTTGGTTGGGCCTTGTTGCTCGTAACTGAGTGCGGCCGGAAGCGCCAAGTTGTTGGCGGCGTCGAGGCCGGACGCCTGAACCGACGAGGCGTAGGACGTGGGCGCTTTGAGCAGGCCGAGCCAACGGCCGATGCGCTTGATCTTGTTCACCGCCTCCTCCTCCATCAACTTGAAGCACATCGCGAACACCGAAAGTCCGATGGCCGCGTACAGCGCCAGCGCGATCATCTTCTCTTTGGGGTTCTGCGAGTCGATTTTGGTGCCTGCAACAGGCGACATGGAAGGGGACAGAACAAACCTTTCAGATTGGTTGTCAAGGCAACACTTGTATGCCCACCGACTTGCTGAAGTGGCTGTCGGCGCCAGTGAAATTGGTACATCTCCTCTTCCTCCGGAGAGAGTAGAGCAAAAGGAGATGTCGAATTGCAGACATTCTATCCAACTTTCAAGCACAACTTTGTGGCCAGTCTTCAAAGTTTACAACCAATTAAAGGTGAGCATGTACCCAAAGCGACGGAAGCGTTGGTATGTGCTCAAGTTGATGTTACCCAGTACCTCGTCAGTTGCCATGGCGTTGCACAGCCCGACTGTCGAGCAAGCCAATAGTGACGTGAAGCGGAGACCTGCCGAACAGGCTTTAGCGACGGGACTCGGACGCGGGCCTCGAAAAGCCTCTCTTCTGTCAGACAACTCCATTCTGGCGGCAACAAGACCTTAATAAAGACATGATGACATGGTGATGCAGGACTGGTGTTGGAATTCTAAAAAATGTATCTTTATATAGAATTGTGCATCGTGATTAACGTCTCGAAGCTGTACGCGGCAACACGAAAATCCGGGATTAAGTCCCGCTAGGGGTGCGGATGAGACTGGTTTTTTGGCGAGCTGGAAGCTACAGTCCACCTCGGCTGAGACGAGAATGTATTTTGTGTGAAAAGAGACCTAATAGCGTGAGTTTGGAGTTTTAAAATCTATGCTTATTCGTAGCATAAGACTAGCCGATAGAGACCATTGTGACAATGAAGTGAATCGGCTTAAAATAATTTTCCTTGAGAATAACTATCCCCTTGGCTTGATTGAAAATAACATTAGTTTAATAAAGAATAGCTTTTTGAATGGTGAATGTGTAATGAGAGATAAGGAGACCTTTTCTCATGTTCTGTCTCTACCCTCGTGCGTTCTCTCTAAAAGGAGAGGTGAGCAAGTAAGGAAATGGGAAATAAAAACTGTGTTCAG